TACCAGACTTAAAAGAAAACAAAAAAGAAAAAGAAAGTCATCTCTTAAGTTTACAGAGTCTGGGTTGTTAACTAGATAACATTCTGTCTAGTCATTAGAATTTGTTGTCCATTCAGAGGTGATTTAGACTCAAGATATTGGCCATCGGGCTGCACTTCAGTTTTTCAATTCACTTTACTTGTTGTGTGCTGTTAGGCCTGTTTTTAAAGTTCACCCCCAGCTTTTAATGTTGTGCAATATTAGTGTCCTCTCACAAAATCATTTAAGTTCAGTTTGCTTGTGTTACATACCAATATTCCTGTTATTATGATATAGATGCCTGGTATATTAATGTTCTTAAAAACGCATGGACTTTCATTATTATATCTTTATTATGTAGGACGATTAAATTTTTATCTACCAGGAAATGAGAGACTATTTCTGCTTAGTTACCCCTTCTAGCTATATTGCTAATTCATCAAACGTCTGAAACACACAGTTGTGCCCGCTTAGATGCAGGGAATGATTATTAGTGTTAATTAGATGCTGGACTACTTTTCCACTTGGTCATTGTGTGTGACATGAGTGCCAATCATTCTTTTCTGTGACTAATAAGGAACTGCTGTATATGATGCTATTGCTTTTTTTTTTTACCAGTCTTTCTTAATACAGATGGAAATGCATGTCTTCATAGTGTAAATGTACATATAATCAGAAAAAGAACCCCATATACTAAGTATTTATTAAAAGCAATAGAAATTAAAGATAGTCTGCTCTGTTTATAGTTTTTCTGTGTGTATCATTAGAGCCTATTTATATCATTCATACTAACTTTCCTGTTTGAGTGTTATGAACTCCTAGCCTTCACGAGACTCAAATTGTTTTATTTAGCTATAGCAATTTTTATTTTTTTATATGGAAAATGTCAGAAATTAGCCAGGGAGAAGCCATTTTGTTTACTTTCCTTCATCTCGCAGAACTGCCTCCGACTTTTTACGTTAGAGGAACCTTGTTTTCTGACAAGGAAAATGTATCCCAGAGATTTTCTCTGTTTCTTTCACTAATAACCAAGGAGCCTGGTTCTTTTTTTGTTGGAGGATATTGGGCAACAAGTATCTGACTTGCCTATAAGTGCTGACAGAGAGCAAACGTATTTTTGCTGCTATTGGTGTCTTTTAAGGAGAGATCTGGAAAAAAAAAAAAAAAGTGTATATATATATATATATAGTTTTATAAGTTCACATAGATTTTTCTTCTATAACATATCATGTTGCTATGTCTACTTTCCTTTTATTATTAGGTTTCACCGGCTTCAAAGACTCTCTCCCTCATTAATAAGAAAGTTATATGCTTAGTAAGCAAGATATAAGAACAAGGCAATTTAAATGTGCAGATTTAGGAATAGTTCATCTAGACCAGTAGTAATTAGACCCCTGCTATTCTAAATGTCAAGGGTTACCTACAAAAGAAGACTAAAATTGGAACAATATAGTGAGATCTCCAAATTTAAGTTGTTCACTTTGTTGGTGTTAGTTTCCTAAATGTTGGATCCACAGTGGCATGGTTCTTAATTATTTCCTTGTTAACTTTATTATTATTATTTTTTTAATTGTGGGTGAATCTCTTACCTATCAAATTCAAAAGAAGGTTGAACAATCCAACCTTGAAAAGATCACGCATTCCTCTGGACTTGAGGAGCTGCTGGGACCAGGAGCCAGATGACCTACCGCTATGGTAGTTTTCATTTTTCAAGTAGACTTAAATGAAATCCAAGGTCCCTGGTGATGACAGCATTTTGTGTGTTGCAATATCCATCACCAAAAAAAACCCTTATTTCTACAAAAGGGCTCTCTGATCAGCCAGTCTTTTTAAGGTGGCACCCATCTTGGACTCTCCACAGATACATTATATCCAAGCAGGGCTGTGTAAGAACCTGGTGCCTTTTTCTATGTGCAGATGGATTGGGTGGGGTGTTTCCAAATACCAGGGAGAAATGCTGTGCTACCCACGTCACTTACAGTGAGGAAGCTGCTCTGACTTGTCCTAACAAGAAGAGGTGACAGTCATGCGCCAGGCACTCATTCATCTGCGCTCTTCCTTTGTTCCAACCGTCCTTTGTTCTAAATGGTGTTGGCTGTATTAATTTGCGGCGACTGGCAGAACAAAACGTTACAGACTGTGTGGCTTAACCAGAAGAAATTGCTTTTCTTACCGTTCTGGAGGCTAGAAATGCCAGATCACAGTGCAGGCAGTTTGGTTTCTCCTGGAGCCCCCCTCCCTCCTGGGCTGCCGGATGGCGGCCTTTATCCTGTGTCCGCATCCTCATCCCTAGGTCTGTGTCCCAGTATCCTCGCCCCCTGAGAACACGCAGGATTGGATCAGGGCCCGCCCATGTGACCTGGCTTAACTGGAATATCTTCTGGAAAGATCGTGTATCCCTATCTTTAGACATAGCCACATTCGAATCTACTGCGGGTTAGTATTTTAATATGTAGATTTTGGATGAATCCAATTAAGACCATGATATTGGTCATTGAAATTTAATACCCAATATAAACGTATTTAGGCTAATTTGAAGCTGGATAAATATTTATACTTTAATTATAAAAAAATATTTTACCAATATATTCTTGTCTAGAAGATGAAGATGCTCCCATTTGGATAGTGCCTAATAACACTAGTAATAGTATCTTTACAAAATTTTTCTTCTTAAAACTCTGCCTTTTCCCCATTTAACTTCAATTATGTTTTTTGTTGTTTCAAACTCAAACAATTTTTTTTTTTTTTTTTTTTTTTGCATAATGGGGATGGCAGCTTATCTTCTGATGCCTATATCTTACAACATCTTTTTGATACTATATAAATAATCAACTTATTCTTAGAAAATTATATGCTACAGTATATTATATGCTTTCAATAAACAGTTGATTTTATTTAGAGGTTAAATTACTAGTTACCTTGTAACTAATACAGATACACTACAATACAATGCAGTACTATGTAATACAATATAAAATAGTTGTAACTTTCATTTTCAGAAAGAAGCACTTAGATTTGGGTATATTTATCAGCTTTGCAACTACTGTACTGTATACATGAATAACTCATTTCTAAAGTTAAATAATGTTTAATTCTATTTTTTACAGTTAGACTAGTTTATTTATAAATCATAGCATTCTTTAATTCCTAAGAACTAAGGTGTTCAATGTCCATGTAACATTATTAGGCTTTCTTTAGTGAATATTTGCTTCTTTAAATAGGAATTATGGTAGCATTCCAGTCGGAGAAATGATTGGAGATTTGGTCATTTATTATGTGGTTCATTTTCTTGTCTTGTTTTTGTACCCTTGTTATTTCAATCTTAGTTCTTGTTTTTCTTAATATACTTATTACCTGTCTATATACACAAATACACAAATCAATTCTTTATTCCTCTCTCAAGAATTCCTACCTCTGCATATCACTGTTTTTCTTCAAGACTTATCAATATACCCTACCAGTTTACTTTGCTATTTTCCCTCTTAAAAATAAAGAATAATAAGAAAGAAAAAATATCTAGCTCTGTTTGTGGCATTATGAAAATCAATAGTTAATTTTAAATCTAATTTTTTAAAAAATATATTTCTTTGGTTTTTGTTTGTTTGTTTGTTTTTTTATCCTCACCCGAGGACATTTTTCCATTCTATGTTCAGGTAGAGTGGGTGGGAGAGAGAGAGAAACATTGATGTGAAAGGAACACATCGAGTGGCTGCCACCCACACAACCGACTAGGGCCAGGGACAAACTGCAACCGAGGTACATGCCCCTAGCGGGAACCGAGGCCAGGTTCCTCTGGACCGCAAGCCAATGCTCCAACCGCTGAGCCAAACCGACCAGGGCTATTTCTGTGTTTTAAATAGGTTTTTATTGATTTTTTAGAGAAAGAGAGAGGATGGGAGAGAGAGATAGAAACATCAATGTGAGAGAGACAGAAACATCAATATGAGAGAGAAACATTGATCCGCTGCCTCCTGCACAACCCCCACTGGGGATCGAGCCCACAACCTGGGCATGTGCTTTGACTGGGAATCAAACCAGGACTTCTCAATTTATGGGACGATGCTCAATCCACTAAGCTACAGAGATTGGGAATAATTTTAAATCTAATTTACATTTCTTTCTTTTATTTATCCATTTTAGTCTAAAGCAAATGATTGAGAGATGATAACTGGATCCCCAATTCCAAGTACGGTCTAAATTAATGTCTCACTGTTGGCACTGTGTACAAAATTTGTTTGAGAAACAATTTATTAAATGTGTCTGAAGAATGTTACACAGATTTGAAAGATAAATATTAGAAAAATAATTACAAGTTTCAGTTCACAAACTTTTATATATATGAAAAAACCTTATATTTTCTTTGTACATTTTAATAAATACAATCTTATATTTTCTCATGATCATAAAGAACTTTTGATTAAAATAAATACTTTCCTGTACTCTGATATCTTTGATACCTGCTCACATATATATTTCAGTTAAATTATACATGTCATTTTATAAAGCTAACATGTAAATAATTGGAAAAGTTAAGATTTTTAAAATAATTCTTGGAATTTTTATTGGGCTGATAATCTTTTTTTTTTTTAAATTTTTTTTTCTTTATTGATTTTAGAGAGAGAGGAAGGGACAGGAGAGAGAGATAGAAACATCCATGAGAGAGAACATCAGTCAGCCGTCTCCTGCACACCCCTCACTGGGGATTGGGCCCACAACCTGCCCTGACCAGGAATCAAACTGGAACCGCTTGGTGTATGGGTCGACCCTGGGCCACTGAGCCACACCTGCTGGGCAAGGGCTGATAATCTTAAAGATAGTCAAATAATTTCTGGGTATCAGTTAAAACTTTTCAAGTCTAATTTGAGGGTTTTGTTGTTGTTGTTTGTTTTGTTTTGTTTTGTTTTGTTTTGCTTCATGGCATCTGCGTGTGAATATTTTCTCAGTGTTTTGGTTTCTAACTACTGATTTTGCATTTTCTTCAGGATGTTTTGAATAATTTGGGGTCTTGTGAACTGGATGAAGATGATCTAATGCTTGATCTAGAATTATTAGAGGAACAGACTCTTCATCCTTCTGGTAAGTATTGAATAAATGCACAATATTATACAACTCTGATCCAGATCATTTAATTTTCCTTGATAAGCTGAATACTGTTTAGGCTGCATTCAGTCTTTCCAATCCCCGGTTTGTACAAGGCACTTGCTGGGTATCAAGGACTAACGTTTATTATGGAAATATAAACCCTGTTAGAAAGTAATTATAAATTTAAAAAATTTGTAAGACAATATTTGTTTAAAAGAAGGAAATCCTAATTGAACACTTAATGAAATAGTTAATATTTTTTGGAAGAATATAACAATTATAATCCCAATTTTTAATTTACTTTATATAACCAAATGGAAGGCTTGTGAATTTGAATTTACTGTTTTGTCTTAGTCACTTTGATAATAACTGAAGGTTCATGTTGATACAATAAAGTTGACCTCAAAATTAATTACCAATAGCAAGCAACCACAAATACATACACATATATAATTACAGTATGAGATAAATTCTTGTTGAATGAATGAATAAGAGAGCCCATTATATTTGTAATAGTTTTTCATTAAAGCATAAAATATCATGTCTCCAAATACCAAAATTACTCCCTTTGAAGCTGTTATAGGAATAAATTGTTAATTCTTATTTAGATATTTGACTAGAAAGGCAAGCTTTATTTACCTTTTTATTATGACTAACACCTTTCACACAGTAATTTTCAAGTCAAAGTAGAAACAAAATTAAATTGGAGCCAAGAAATTTTGGGTCCTACTGCATACATTTGAGAAAATCAACCTTTTGGATTTTAGTGTCCATATTTATAAATATTATTATTTAGATATGATTTCCAGCTCTAATATTTTGTGATAAATTTTAGTTCATGCAGTATTTTTATATTTTTCAATAATGTCATATTAACAACTGTCAAAAGAAGGTAATAACACACACACATATATATGCATATAAAATTTATTTTTATTTATTTTTTTAATCCTCACCTGAGGACATTTATTTGCCGATAGAGCGGGAGGGAGAGAGAGAGGAAGAGGGAGAGAGAGAAACATCGATGTGAGAGAAAGACATCGACTGGCTGCCACCCACACGACCCCAACCGGGCCGGGGATGAACTGCAATCCAGGTACATGCCCTTAGTGGGAACCAAACCCGGACTCTCTGTCTGGTCCATGGGCTGATGCTCTAACTGCTGAGCCAAACCGGCCAGGGCTATAAATGTGTCTTTATTGTAGAAGGTATTACAGAGGTTTCCCCTTTCCCCACCCATTGACCCCTTCCACTCTGCTTCCCACCCCCCAACCTTCACAGCACTGTTGTCTGTGTCCATGGGCTATGCACGTGTGCATATACGTTCTTTGGTTAATCTCTTCCCTCTGAGATTCATCGGCCGTTCCCCACTTCCATGCCTCTGCGTCTATTTTGTTCATCAGTTTATTTTGTTCATTAGATTACACATATAAATGAGTGTTTATATTTTCCACACATTGTTTTAGGTTAATATCAATAAGAAGCTACTTAAATTATTTTAGTTGAATACAAACACAACCATTTGTTAAGACATTCTTCTTGCAGTTGATTTGAAAGATATTTTTTTACTATAGATTTTTCCCACTTTTATACAGATAACTTATCCAATTTTGTCATTCATTTTTACCATAAAAGAGTTACAAATGGTGAGAATGTACACCATTTGGAGGGAAACTGTCAATCTCTAACAAATTTGTCAATCTCTAGCAAAACTGTACATGCATTAACCTTTAGGTCCAACTATCCAACTTTTAAAAATTTAATCTTAAGTCAGTGGAAATGTGCAAAATAAGGTATGAAAATAACTATTTATTGCAATTGGAAACACCTCAAATGTATTTCCAACAGGACACTTGTTGAATATACCCTGTAGAGTAAGCAGTCGTTACGAGGAATAGTGAAGGTGGCTGTATGTATGCTGTAGCATGTTTATAAGGATGTACTGTTGTTGGAGAATTTTGCAATGATAGATTAGACCAGCAATCCCTACACCTGCTAATCAATCTTAAGGACATGAAAAGTGTAACAACGAGACATTTTGTCCCTCTTCATACTTAGAAAGGTACATAGTCCCACCACTTCTGCCCACAAATACTTGTCCACTCTAGCCTCTTGATTAAAGTATGATTTTATACAAAATATTGGGAGTAGGGGCGAGGGGATATTAAATGGCATAATAAGATCACCAGCAAACAATTATAGAATGCGGGGAATTCTATAGGATAATTGGTCTGGTTTCTTCAACAAAGAAACAGCACTATAAAAGTGGCAAGTGGAGTGTGACATCTTTGTCGGCATACATATGGAAAAACATACATTTATTGTACAAAGATATTTCTCAATTACTCAGAGAAATTTGAGGAATGACTAAATTATTACAGAGTTATTTTTGGGGTGTGTGTGGAATACCTTTGTTTTGTTTTTTAAGGAAAATTCTTTAAAGAGATGCATGGTATGATATCTGACATTTACCTACAAATGTAGAGGTAGGAGTAGCTGAAACAAAACTGGAAAATTATTGAAAATGATCAATGCTGGAAAATAGATACTTGTGATGAAAGGTTTATTCATTAGTTACAATATTTTTTATATCTTATGCATTTTAAAATATTTTCACAATAAAAAATAAAATCACGTCATGATTTAAAAGAATTACAGATAATGGTGGCAATCTCAGTTCTGTTTGATAGGCAATCATGACAGAGAGCAAAAAAATTACTTAAAAATATAGAGTTAGTTGGCCCTGGCTGGTTTGGCTGAGTGGTTAGAGCGTCAGCCTGCAGCCCAGAGAGACCCGGGTTCGGTTCCCACTAAGGGCATGAACCTCAGTTGCAGTTGTCCCAGGCCCTGGTTGGGGTCATGTAGGTGGCAACCAGTCGATGTGTCTCTCTCACATCAATGTTTCTCTCTCTCTCTACCTCCCTCTCTCCCTTCTGCTCTATCTGAAGATAAATGTAAAAATGTCCTCGAGTGAGGATAAAAAAAAAAAAAAGATTAATTCCTATGTTAAATCCTTTAAAACTTATTAACCCCAAATTTTAATATTCCAAGAGAAAGCAGATTGTTACTTTGTATTAAATTTGATCTTAAATTAACAATTTGCAGATAAGTTATTCCATTGAAAATACATGTTACTTACATATTATTCTTTGATAAAATGAACTTAATGGTCATTTAGATGATTGAGTGAAGAAATTTTACATTTTTAAAATTATTAATTTAGGCATTATATCTAAAAATACCTAGAGCAGTATCTTTTGGTATATATCCGGATGCAAATGGGGAAGTAATGGTCCAATGATATCAATTAGAAAGTAATTAGGTAGTTGCTAAATTATTTTGAGTTTGATGAACAAGCAACATAAAATTCTGCACTGAGTTAGGAACTCCTCCTGTGCCTATTAATTAAGGAGGTAATTTTTGTTATTAATTTTTAATGGATTATAACAGAACAGAGCAGAGATGACACCCTAGTGGCTTTGCTAATATGAATGGTAATGCACAAATTACAACATTCACACAGGGAAAATTATAAAAATAAACCATAGGTTTGTACAACTTTGGTATGTCTGGGTCAGAAAAAGTATGTGTCAAGTATCTTCAATTTGACTGTGGGAAACTAAGAAACATATGACACTTAGCTTTAGAAGTCTGATATAGTAGCTAGAAATCTGGACTCTGGATGAATCTCAGCCAACAACCAGGCTATGTAAGCTTGAGCAAATTATTCACTCCCTCTCAGTTTCCCTCTCTTCATTTGAAAAATGGGGGCAACAAAAATATCTACCTTATAAATGTGTTGTGAGAAATAATACATTTAAAAGGTCCAGTAGAAAGTTCTGTCTCATGTCTGGCATATATTATTTTTTAAGAACTATAGCTGGTACCACTTTTTATACTATGCATGAAAAAATATGTACATCTAAGGATTAATAGGAATCCAATCTTGCATATATTGGTGAATGTTCCAGTTTCTATTAATGGAATATCTCAACCACATTTTCAAGTATAGTATTTCTCAAATTTTAACTATAGAAAACCACCACACATGCAATTAATTTTGTGACTCTCATGCATTTTGAAACTTTTACAGTTACAGCATTACTTAAGATACAAAAAAAACCCACAAATAACATTTTTTGTTTGTTTGTTTGTTAAGTGCCAATTCAGTGAGATAAAGAATAACTTTCAGATTTGATAAAATTGAAGCTTTGAGCGATAAAATGTTATAGGCAGTAGTATTCTTACCTGTTCCAAAATTTTTCTAAGTCTGAAAGCTCTGAGTTTAATGATTATGCTTCTTTTGACTAATAAAGTTAATTTATATAAAAATGTAAAAACTACAGTTATACTGAAGCGTTTGTTTCAAATGGGCTCTTCTTTCTAGTAACCTTTTCAATTATCAGCATCACTTATGTATGTTTGCTTTGGACTTCATGCAAGAAGCTAAAATTATATTTATTTACTGAAGCATCTGTGTTGTGCCACTGGACTGATCTAGGCACTAAGTTGTTTGTATTTTTGCTTGTGTTTAAGCAACGATTTATAAGCACTGGATAATCTCTTTAATTCTATCATCAAGTCTCTGGAAAGTACATATATTACTATTTTTGCTCATGGAGGAAGGGATGGAAACACAGAATAGCATTGTAATTGGTCCAGGATTACAATCTAGTTAAGTGGCAGAACCAGAGTTTAAATTATACTGTTGTGACTTGATGCCTGTCTACTATTTTCACTATGCAATGCTCTCAGTGATGTGTAGTTTCTAGATAGAGCAATTATAATAAAGGTGCATAATGTTCTGTTGTAATACACTCTTTGGGTAACAGATGTAGTAAAGATGCAATTGTGGCATTAGTTGTTAAGCTGGTACTACTGGTTTTTCATTTCTACTTTCAGAGTTAGAGTACTTGTTACCTGCTCATCTTTCTGTTAGAGTACTTGTTATCTGCTCAATAGCCACTAGATGGCAATCTTGGTCTGATAATGAT